ACACACACACACCCCTTCCCCACACAGTGTGGGGCTGGAGCCTGGGGGCAGGGGGCAGTGGGTTAGGAGTGAGGAGCACTGGGTCGGGACTAGCCATTGATGTTTACAAATGGGTCCTGATACAAAAAAGGTTAAGAACTATTGGACTAAATGACCTCCTGAGTTCCCTCCCAACCCTAATTTTCTATGATTTTATGATCATAGTAAGTTATTATCAGAAAGCTTAGTCTTTTGCTGCAACTGCATGCCAAGCAGTGCTTCAACCACACACACTACTAAGTGGGGTTAGTTTAATTCACTAGAACAGTCTGGCAATAGCACAGTTCTATAATCCCAGAAAAAGGAATAGAAACTAACATAATTGTCAACTCGCTAATGGAAAAAACTATACTGAATCATGCTTTGTAAGTCTCCTATAGTTAAGATTATCATAGCATTTCTATTCTATCCACATATATTGAGTTGTTCTTAACTTCCTGAAACTTTAACTTGTTGGGTTGAAATTCTTCAGGCTTAGTCTCTGCCTGAAGGTAGGTACTTCTGAGCTCTCTCATAAAACAAAAAGAGAGAATGAACTCCTACTGAACATCTGTTATTTAATTCTACTTTTTTCTAAATACCTCTTCTACCATTCCCTGTGTGTAAAATGTTCAACTTTGGTAGGGTAATGGCTGTTCTTGTGGAGGAGTCACCTCAGGGCATTCTCATCGAAATCATTCTGACTTGGCTGACTTTTAGAAACTACTGTAATACAGGCTCATGAGTCAGAGGTAGCATTTAAAGCACTTCTAGCAAAAGAAAGAACAGAGTGAGACAGGGTACCAGAAGAAGAGTAACTGGTATGCAGGAATGGATATGATATGAGGAGCAAGATGAATCATTGGAAAGATCTGTAGATGAGGAGGCTTGGGATTTCTCAGAGACAGAAGTCAGGGGGGAAAAAGAAGAGAGACCGAGGGTTTATGGGAAGGGTAGAAACTTCCCTTAAGGGTATGTTGTATGAAGATTGCAGGTAAAGCATGATATGGGAGCCTACAGGTGAAACATGGTATGGGAGCAAAAGCCTATTCCATAGAAGAAGCAAGAGGAAATCACAGTGATATGAGAGTCCAGGAGACAAACAAGTGGAACTTGATGGTGAAAAGGAACTTGTGAAATTTGAAGCCAGAGTGGATTAGGAAAGTTGGAGACATTTTTATAGCACTGCAAAAAAATCTCTCTGTCCTCACATCTATGAAAGGCCTCCACTTATCCTAACCTTTTCTATAAATTTGTAGTGTTAGTGGGATATCAAACTATTTCAGTGAAATACTGGTGTCAACCTATAGTAATAGAACACAGATGTTTTGTATCATACAGCTAGGGTTAAACCTTACAACCCCATGTTCTTTTCATTCTTTCTTCCCCTTCATATTACAAAAAAAAAATCAAATATGTATCTTTAAAAAGCTTTTCTTGTCCAAAGTTAAGTTTGACCAAGATAATTCATTGTATCTTCTTTCAAAATACACTTCAAAAAACCAATAAATGGAAACAGCCTCTATTTCCAAGATAAGTGTTCTATAGCAACACCTGGCTGGAAGAGACACATCTATCACAGTCCCCAAAGACATTCTAGACAGGTACCACTACAGTGCTGATTAAATTTATAGAGAAAAATATCAGTATTTGAGGAAGGAATGGAGACAAGACATTGATTTCCTTTAGGTTTCCCAATATCAAATATCAAGCCATTCAAATTGCAGTAAAAGCAAAATATGTTAAGAATCATAAAATCCAGTTATAGAAATCATACAATTTATGAATATTTTAATTTAATGTACATGCAGGAATATGCTTTTCATTAAAATATAGTATCAGTTCAAGAGATCACTGTTCAGTTTCCTGCTCTATACAAGCTTCCTTTTGAGACCCTGAATAAATCATTTTCTCTAACCGTGCCTCATACTCCCACCAGTTAAATGGTGTTAATATAATCTCATCTCTTGCCTTTGTCTATATTTAGGCTGCAAGAACTTTGGGGTGCAAACTTTCTCTTTGTGTGTTTATCTAACACCTAGCATAACAGGGCCCTGATCTCATTTGAGGACTCTGGGCGTTACAGTAATACAGAGATTCACTTACATCTTTATCTTGTGTATTACCTGGTGAGTCCAGCTAACCCCTAAAAACTATTACTATGAAAAGCCATAATTTTCTCTCAAGTCCACTTTTGACTTGGCATTTCTGGGATGCTGGGTTAAGAAAAAGTTCTTGACAGGCAAAAAAAAAAAAAAAAAGATGAGCACCACTTCAGACAAAGCATGAACATGACAGGGAGTGACCTAGTTTAGCAGGATTTTGGAACAAAGATACGGAAAAATTTAAAGGAAGTTATTTGGAAGAACTGTATATTATCAAGCACATATGGTAACAAGGTATCAGCATTCACCTTTCTCTATACACATCATGCCTTAGTAACGTGGAATATTTAGGTAGAGAAAAAAACCTGTATGAAGCTGCCGCAATAAATGTTTAATTTGGTATAACTGTTACTCAAAAGATGATGTGCTGGGAATAGCTAGAACTAAGACATTTCCCCACTTAGACAACAGTTCTTCAAAGCAAAAGCCCAAAAACACTTTGACTCCATGAATGGAAAATGTAAGTCACTGGAATTCTAGATAGAGAGGTATGAAAAGCAAGTGCCTCTCACGTCAACAATCTCTCCTACTTCTGTATGATCCTTTCTTTACCAGACTCTCTAGAAAATACAGGAAGGAACCAGACAGTGGTTGGAAGCATTTTTGCTGGCTCACTGAAGTAGTACGGTGCATCAACTTTCATGTACAGGACAATGCCTTCTGTCCTCTTCTGAAGTACACACTGGGTGCGTCTACACATTCCTTAATGTGCCTTTGCTACTGCTGATTAAGTTTAGTACTTCTAATATGAGGTACTAGATAAAGGCACAGTAACTGCACTAATTTTCATAGATTTCACAGACATTAGGGCTGGAAGGGACCTCAGAAGATCATCAAGTCCAGCCCCGCACCCAAAGGGCAGGAAGTCAGCTGGGGTCATAGGATCCCAGCCAGATAAGCATCCAATTTACTCTTGAAGGTGTTCAATGAAGGTGCTTGAACCACCTCCAATGGCAGGCTATTCCAGACCTTGGGGGCTTGGACAGTAAAGAAATTCTTCCTTATGTCCAGCCTGAAACGGTCTTGCAGTAGTTTATGACCATTCGACCTCGTCATCCCTTGGGGTGCTCTCTCTGGTGAACAAACGTTCCCCCAGACACTGGTGGTCATTTCTGATTAACTTAGAGGTGGCCATCAGATCACCCCTGAGCCTGCACTTTTCCAGGCTAAAGAGCCCCATAGCTCTCAGCCTCTCATCTTAAGGTCTGTTTTCCTGACCTCTGATCATGCGCGTGGCTCTTCTCTGGACTCTCTCAAGCTTCTCCACATCCTTTTTGAATTGTGGGGCCCAAAACTGGACGCAGTACTCCAGCTGCGGCCTCACCAAGGCCGAGTACAAGGGGAGAATGACGTCCCGGGATTTGCTTGAGAAGCATCTATGGATACAAGCCAGCATTTTGCTCGCTTTACTAGCTGCAGCA